GACGCAAGAAATAAAATATTCAACGACAATATTTCCAACAAAGTTGGAACCTGCCGTTTGCCGCTCCCGGAAACGTGAAGCTTAAACTCCCTGCATAAAGTATCTGTCATAACGAGCAGGTTTTCCTTGCCAGTTTCCTTGAGAGGTTTACCTTCTCGTGTGCAGGGTAACAAGTTTTCCTTGGCACGTTTTGTTACGTAATGTTGTTTGCCAAAATCACAGTAGTATTTCTTGTATACTTTTCAAGTTTTCCTTGGCGGCCGTACACACGAACAAATTTTCATTTTTCAAAAGCTGACATGACTAACTCATTTGGAACAAGACTCCTTCGGGCAAGGAAAAAATGTCAATTGTTGGCCGTTCACGCAAGCTTGTGAAGGAAAACTTTTCAAGGGACACTTGCTCGTCTGTACGAGGCTTAAATTTGATATCGTTACTGATGCGAAAAGAAGAGAATTGTCTTTTCAAAAGCTGCATGCCGCTTTTTTTCTCATTATTATACTGTAGGTTAAAGATATACCTTCAAATATACTTGAGACAAATTCTTCAACAATTGAAAGGGACTACAAAAAAAAGAGTGATTGTCAAGTACCCGGACACATTTTCTTCTTCGTTTATATACTAACAAAGAAACAGAGGCTGCGCTACGCCTTCTTCAATGGGCGGGGTGAAGTATAGTTTTGTTGAGTCATTACGTGGTCTCTATTAAGGCTGATTTCCACTATTGCGTTTTTCATACGTACGTATACGCACGTAAAACTTTAAATCCGTTTAAATGTTACTTATGAAATAACCAAATTAATAAAGCAACACAATTTAGTGTTTCGCAAATTTTAGTATGCATTTTTTAACTTATTTGTAAAATATTTAAAAAATAAAAGGATTCAAAGTTTTACGTGCGTGTACGTGCGTACGAAATACGCAACAGTGGAAGTCAGCCTTAAGCCTATATGTATATGATTGCGCATATTTACTAAATTTTGACTAATTAACAATTAGACAACGAGGCCGAGTTGTCTACAGTGGCGTAACGGGAGGGTGTCAGGGTGTCCAGAGACGGGGGGCCCCCGAACTTTAGGGGCCCCCAACAAAAATGACCTTAAAAAATTTGATAGCACATTTCTGAGGAATTGAATTAATTGAATTGAATTGAATAAAAAAAACCCATTGTCTGGAAAAGGCAAAATCCGTCGAGAAATTTCCCGAAGCTGCGACGGATTAAGTACGTCGCGGCTGAGGTAAAGGACGAGATACTAGAATGAATTAATTGCAATTTCATTGGGTATGTCCGGAAAAAATTTTGGTTCTAAAATGGTACAATGTCCGAAAATTTTTTGGCGACGGGGGAGGTCGCCAAAAAAAAAATTGTTCCGAGAAAAATTTTTGGAGCCTATTTTTAGTGTAGCAAAGGGCCCAAAGTGGCCGATTGACGGAGGGCCCCCAGCGGTTGCGTTACGCCACTGGTTGTCTATGAGCGAATAGTCAACGAGGCGAAGCCGAGTTGACTATCTGCTCATAGACAACGAGGCCAAGTTGTCTAATTGTTTTAGTATAAACTTTAACATTAATTTACAACCAGGGTGCAAACACAATACAAAAATACACAAAAGACATTATAAAACCATTAAAGGTAAACAAATATTTTAGTTTTTGTTCGCGTAAAATGTTTTACAAAATTCAGTTTTAATTTTAAAATTTCATTGAGTGTATGTTATTAATTTTGTCTATTTTCTTATCCTTACAAATTGCCATTCCATATTTCTGTTGGTTTTTTCGGGGTTTTTTAGTACAGAATTGTTCAACAAGTCGTCCAAAAAATGGCAAAAGTGCAAAACGCGAACTTTCCGCCATTTTGAATTTTTATTAGTAGGCTATCACTAATAGCCTACTAGTAGCGTAGCCAATCAGAAGGCACGATATGTGATAGCCTACTAGTAGGTTTATACAAACATTGCATATACGCGGATTACTTTCACAATAGAGTCTGCATGTCCTGTAAGAACAGTCGAATATATATACTTAACTGTTTTGACTATACAAAGTTCTAGGGGGAGGAGTCAAAGAGCATGCTCCCCAGAAAAAAAATGTAATCTAATTATATAATGTCTCTAAGGAAGATTTCAAATTACTATACCGCACACAACAACTGTTCCCAGTCGTGACTGCTATCACAAAACCAATTCATCTGCATTTAATTATATATATACAAGCTTTCGTTGGTAAGTGAGAATATGACGCGTGCGTCAGAAGAACAAAGCAGGCATGAATGGTATTGTTGGAGGAGATTATTAATGTTTACAAGGGATTACCAAATTAACAATTTAAAATTAAAAAACCACGACGATCCTTGCCAGGAAAGTTGGGCAAGTGCTGGAAAAATTATGAAAATTCGGATGAATTATTGGCGAAGCGAGTCATACAGCCATAGCAACTGATCATGCTATGCAAATTTTTCATGATTTGCATTATTTAAACATTTACAAATACATTGTCTTTTTAACATATTTTAATAGATGCAGCCGGTTTGTTAGCATAGCATGACCAGTTGCCATGGTTAGCACAAGAAAAAGATATACCTTTGTCAAATATCCTCGGGAATTTTTCATCATGTCTTCCCTAAATTAAATGATTAAATGCTGCTGTTTACATTGGCTTGTTAAAATTTAATTATAGTTATGTAGTATTTAAAGTTCAATCTTTTGAAATTGAAGACATAAAACGTACTCGAATTCTTCGACTGCTTCCTCAATTTCGGAATCTAAAAGATTAAAAATAATAACCTGCTTTTACTGACGAAAGCACGTATACAGTCAAGCGTCATTTGGAAATATTTAGTGCAACTGAAGCTGAATGTTATATAGGGGGTCGTGAAAGGGGGTACCACATCTCAGGTGCCAGTATTTTGCTCCAGTCCTAGTTCCCCGAATAATTTCGGTTCAAATCCCAGTTACGAAATTTGAAATCCTATCCATTTTGGAGATTTAAAAAAAGAAAGGATTGGCTAGGCTTGCTCGCGGCAAGAAGGCGTGTTCAGGTGAAAAATTATTTAATTATTTTATTATTAGGAAATATTTAATTATTTAATAATTAAAAATAATTTAATTATTTTTATTTGAAAAATAGGATTATTAAAGGACTTTAAGCAGTTGTACAAAAAACTAGAGTTGGAGACCACTCAAGAAGAGAAATCTCATTTCCATTTCCAAAACTTTTTATTCCTTTTTCAGCGGTTAAATCGCAGTCCCAGTGCAGTAAATCCCAGTTTTCCAGTTCAAAAAAGGCAAATCCCATGCAGTGCCCATTTTACCCCCGTCACGATCCTGGATAAATGTACGCCAGTCAATGTATATATACCATCGATATCTCTTTTTTGAATGGATTTTCCATTGCATCCAATGAAGAAGAATACCACCTGAAAATTTAGAAAACGCTTTATAAAAATTTTTGCACAAAAAAATTTTAAAAAATAAGGCATAGATTTACAACAGATTCATTGCCGACTTAATTTGCGTCATGTTTTCTCCGGGCGGTGCGGCTTTTTCCAGTGATAACATTGGACCAAGAACATTGGACCATCTTATATACTGGATTTGTAGGGAGCCTAACAGCACCATATATCCGATAAAATAATCTTCATTCTGTGCTACTTCTTATGTAGGAACAGTTTTAAACAGTAAGGGATGACCACACTGCATGGATCTTAATCTATCATGCCTAAAATAAAGTTCTTGTATTATTTTTAAATTCACTGACTGAACCATGTGGTTCAAACTAATCATTCTCAACAAAGTTTTTCAAAGTCACTAATTTGTCACGGTATAACAAATATTTTTCTGACTGAAATCAAATGGCAACCTTTGATCGTGCTTTTCTTGAGAAAAGCAAAGGGACGCGGTCTTCAAAAAATATAGAAAACAAACTTACCACAATGACTGCAAATATTTTCATTTTGGTATCCAGCGCCCACAAAAGATTTCTGCTTTTGCCCGCTTCAAGATGTTTCGTTACAGAACACCGCAGAAACAATGCTTACTGATTGCCTGTGCAATAATTTTTGATCACAGTCCGAAATTAAATCCCTAGCATACTAATTGGTGCGAGAAATACTAAGTTTTATTGACAAAAGGTTTTAGGTATACTTTAAGTATTACAAGCGGTAAGAAATAATTAAGTTGACCTGTCGGCATTTTTCAAATAACAACATCTAATTTAAAATAAATCGAAGGGGTTTTTTATGCGATAGCGGATTTTGCATAAGCCGTGATATATTCACCTTGCGCCCAAGCTGGTCCAAGGTCTTCATTTTTGTATATATTAAATTAACTTTTCTGAGTAAAACTTAATATTATGTAGATATTATCCTATCATTCAAAATTGATATGACCCTTAGGGTCTGTTTCTTATGAGGCTGGTTTGCCGGGAATAAATTTTGCATTCATATATGACTAGTTTAACTTTTTAATCCCAACTAATAACCCCCCTTGGTGGCGCAAAATGTGACTGAACATGACTCATCGTTTTTGGAATATTTTTGTTGCAATGGCAACTTGCATGTTAGACTAAATTTTAATCTAAGCAAAGAGAAGGGAATCAAACACCGTACAGCTAAAAAGAACATAATGAAATTAGTAAAATTGCAAGATTTGCAAATACCACAACTCGATCACTAACTTGTTTAGCCTAGCCTTCCAACAACTCAAATCTAATGTTGAATTTTCATGCCATGCAGTTCTGCTATATTTACCGCAGTAAGATTATTTATTGAGCAACCAGCACGTTTTAAATAGTAGTTGTATATTTTAGCAATTTATATAGTTATATATTCAGCATATATTTCTGGCGCAATTTGGCATACTATTTCAGTTATTCTCTGTCTGCTGGGTGTTGTGTGTTTTTAATGTAATTTTTAATGTACGTGAGCCTCCTCGATGAGCACTGTGCTCTTGAGGCAAATGTAAATATTTAATAAAGTTTATAAAAAAAAACACAACTCAAATCTATAGGGTCTGGCCGAATATGCTATCCACTGGGAAATCAGGGATTAATTACAACACAACTAGTTTAGCATTTTTAAAAAGACATTAACGGAATCATTTGGAGATAAAATACATGACAAGCAAGGTTCACCTATATAAATTCCATTTTTCTTCCAAAGATGTTTCGCTTATATTTTCGAGAAAAGGTACCTTAAATGATTAAATGAGGGGAGGCAAAATGATTGACTGGGGGTCGGCTGTCGTCGGCACCATGGGCGCTGTGGGGAAGGGGTCTCGGGCCCCCCAGTTATATAGTTAAAAGACCCTGCATGCATGTGTATTACATTCATGCACTGTATTATTGTGCATTATATTTCATGCAGTACTGCAAACAGAGATACAATTTCCTTTATAAATATTTGCCGTCGTTGTCAAACAAAAAGTGTGTAGGTAATTGCTTCTAAGCTTATCATAATGCTCCTTTTTGTTAGTGCAGGCCTTCATGTTTGGGCACATCTCCGCTTTTATTGTGAAAAACTATTTCAAATTGATATTTGACGACAGACGATGACACCGCGTTTGTTAAAATTTTACTTTATTAGAACAAAATTAGAACAGCAAATAGTGTGAAGTCGCAATTACCTGAGTCTAAATTAACAATTTAACCATTATTGTCTGCATATGCCGGATCATTAGTTTGGCTCTTGGAGACGGCAGCATTCTTTTATTTGTTGTTTGCAACAAACGGATTGTGCCACTATAGGGGTACTCAATGGTTACTGGTAGGATAGGCGTGGTTCTGAAATAAGTCGACGTTGAATGAGGGGGCTAATTAAGAAGAAAAGTTAAATTAACATGCATAATTCTGTTTACATGAGAAGTGTTTTTTGTGTTATAGTTATGTAGAAAATGCTTTGTTGATTTTTTCTTAAAAATGGGACGTGATGTTAAATCTATTAATTTACTATCAAGGTTATTCCAAACGTCCACCCCTTTCATCGAAAGCGAGTGGCTGACGTAGTTAGTTCTTTGATATGGCTTGTGTAGTTTAGTCGAGTTTCGAGTATTGTGCTGGTGAATTTGTAATAAAAAAATTTGTGAAGAAATTTGGCAAGTTATTTAAATGATGATATCGGAACATAAAAAGACTTGTGAGATATTTATTTAACTACTTACTTAGATTCAAGATCTGAAGGTCAATAAATATTTTTTCATTGTGAGAGGTGTATAGGACTGGAATGTTATTAGCAGAACTATTTTCTTTTGAATATTGATTAGTTTTTGAATTCGCTTTTTTTATGTACTGCTCCATATTAAATTTCCATAGATTAGATACGGATACAGCTATTTCAATTAAGGTTGTCCCCCGAGCAAAGTGGAAAAGTCGAATACGAGCGCGAAAGGCTGCTGGGAATCGCTAATAAATTCATTCATTTATTAGCGATTCTCAGAGGGTCTGAATGGGGTTAACTGACTACTGACATTTGCCTGAATTTTTGACTGACAACTGACAAAATATCCTAACTGACTACTGAGAAATGATGAAAAAAATTATAAGTCAGCATTTTGCAGTAACTGACTACTGACAGCTTGCAATATATCGCACTGACAACTGACAATTGGCTTAAATTTTAGCTGACAACTGACACCCAAAGACCCCCATTAAGACCCTCTTCTCAGCAACCTTTCGCGCTCGTATTCGACTTTTCCGCTTTGCTCGAGGGACAACCTTAATTGAAATAGCTGTAGACCAAAGCATGGTAAATTAGTTTTAAAGTATTCAAATTAGTAAAATGACGTATTTTTGCAATAGTTCCTGCATTCCTACTATCTTTTTGGCTACTGAAACTTTAAACTAGGATCAAAGTTATCTGTCAGTGAATATCGAAAAACGAACCTTTGTCTGAACCTTTAGGAAAAAATACTATATTTTTAGACTTTTAGGGCTACAATTTTTAATAAAACGGATTTAGGCTTATTCTTTCCTCTTGGAGCCAAATGTTATATTATTCTTTTTGTTGAGTTTCTCACTTATTGGTGAGCAGATTTGCCAACAGGCTATTGTCCAACAAATAGGGGATCCGAGGAAACTACGATTTTATTTGAAACTACGATTTTATTTATCCGAAAGACACAAAAGTCTATTAACCATTTACGGATGTCAATGTAAATTCTCTTCAATTATTTTAAGACCAATTTAAGGAGAGGTCGGAGTCTGTAGGGCAGAAAAGAGATTTGCGGCACTCTAAAAATTTCATATTTGAGATCCGTGATCTCTAGCCGTCTGATCACGCTGTTTGTTCAAGTATAAACAGACCGGCGTTCGACATGAAAATCGCAGGTGTTGGGCTCCAGTTCTATTGCGTTTCAAGCTATGTAAAGCTGAGAAGAGAATTTGCGGCACTCTAAAAATTTCATATTTGAGATCCATGATCTCTAGCTTTCTGATCATGTATGCGGTTAGTTCAAGTATAAACAGCCAGGCATTAGACATGAAAATCGCAGGTCTTTCCGAGTGTGTTATCGAAAATTTGATTTGGGCGCCCACTTTATTGCGTTTCAACCCCTGTACCATCCGAACCATGGATTGAACCCGGGTCTCCAAGCTTGAAAGAGAAACGACGACACCACAAGTGCTGGAATAATAAAAGGAATAATAAAAGAAAACAGAACCTCAATTAGTACATCAATTGGTGAGATAAAAATGGAACGCAATTAAAAACACCTATACCATCAAAATTCCTAGAAAGGTGTTCATATCTATGCAAACAGTTCAAAATCAATTTTGAAAGTCTTCGCTTTTATTTTATGCCTGCAGGGACGAAAACTTTCAAACTTTTGATTTGATTTAAATCCAAATCATTTCCTTTCGTATGTAAATGAAAGAAATCTATATTACTGTTGTTAATAGTTTGTTATTTTTTTAATAGTCATTTTAATTGAAAGTTCTTGTTTGAATCAAGTTAATTATTTAATGCAAAGTCCTTTTTGAATATGGCAGTACAAATGTAATTTGTTATACAGTTAGTGTCAAAGTTCAATCTTTCCGTTTGCCGCGATTGGTCAAAACCATATCGCGTGCCGGTCCACAAAACGTCACATTAAATGGGTGCAATACGCATGCGTGTCAACCGTGAAATTCCAAAGTTCATTTTTTAAACTTTTTATTAAACATTTACGGCGTTCCATTTATCCAGTTTGGGTTTCAAATTAAGTTCACTCCAATAACCGGTGAATTATTCATACTTTGACTATATAACAAAACACTTATTTACTAAGACCTCCGGAATTAGCAGTGTGTTTTCGTGGCCCCTCGACCTCGAGGCTCCACAAAACACACTGTTTCCCTCGGTCTCAGTAAATAAGTGAAAAATGAGTATTCTGTAATGTGATTTACATTTTTTGTTTATACTTTGTTTTGACGACTAAATCCATCTGATTGGTTTATTTTTTGTCACGTGATCGCTTTGATATTCTTAGTATAAAAACTCGTGTAATTTTCCCCACCCCCGCCATAGTAACTCCAGACGAAGGGCCTTAGTAACTCCAGACGAAGGTCGCCAAAATAAATTAGGGGAAAAAATTTTTCTCATCTCAAACCCTCTGTTACATTCTTTCTGCAGTGCCCCCCCAGAAATTGAGAGCCAGCTACGGGATTGCCCGAAACGTCGAAATTCTCCTTATATATTTTCAAGTGGTTGCATCCCTACCAACGAAAGCTTGACGGATGTTCATTTTATTGGCACTACCTACACAGGCAAAGACAGTTCAAGTTCTTTTATATATTTATCATGGGATAAAAATATAAATGAAGAACCTGTGCTGAAATTTTTTACGTATTTCTCGGTATATGCCATGCATAAATTTTTATCTCTCCCTAAATGCTTGCATGATTTGTTCTTCAAAATTCCACTCTTTGCATTATTTTTGGGGGATCTACCACCCCCTCCCAGGACATCTAATAGTACACCATATCTGGAAACTTTGTCATCAGTTAAACAAGATGAGCAGTTTTAGTACAAATATAATCACATTTGGGCTATTTAACATCAAGACATATGGAGGTCACAAAGAACAACATTGTTTATGATGCAATCTTTATTAAAGATATTTCATTTATAAGAACGAATACAATAAAAGCGAAATAAGCTATTACGGAGATAATGCAACACAGCTCTGTCAATTCACACGAGCACGTTCACCAGTACCAAGAGCACGTTTTCCGAATAGCCAACCAGACCAAGACGGCCAAATTGGACGGGTTGGACGTTCTGAGGGACGACTTGGACGCCATGATGGATTCCACGTGGGCCATAAACGGCTGGGTCGCCATGAAGGCCAAGGGTTCCATGATGGACGCCATGATGGGTGCCATGAGGGACGCCACGAGGGATTCCACGAGGGACGCCATGAGGGACGCCACGAGGGACGCCACGAAGGACGCCACGAGGGACGCCATGAGGGACGCCATGAGGGACGCCACGAAGGACGCCACGAAGGACGCCACGAGGGACGCCACGAGGGACGCCACGAGGGACGCCACGAAGGACGCCACGAAGGACGCCACGAAGGACGCCACGAAGGACGCCACGAGGGACGCCACGGCCAAATCGGACGTGTAGGACGTGTTGTGTTTCTCGTTGGAAACCAAGACGGACGCAACCAGGATGGCCAATGAAATGGACCTCTCTTTGACTGAACTTCAATTTCTAAATGATAATATCATGACATCTCAAACGTGGAGGTCCAGTGAAGGTGGTATTCTACAGTAAGCTGCGATAGTTTGGGTGAAACGTCGAAGTTTTAAAATAAATTCTCATACTCATTAATAACTATTGAACCAAACGCGGAAGAAATCAATATTTAATTAGCAAAAGTGGTTGACTTTTTGGCGGTGGACTAATAGCAGGTCAGCAGGATAAAAAATTTGCACATTCTGGTAATGAGATTTGGTGTGATGCAATTTCTGTTTATACATTCAGTCGATTGATGAGAAATTTGAAAAGTAGCGAATAGCGGCTGTTCCTTGAAAGCAATCCGCTACTTAACTACTGAAAAAATATAAGATTGCTCCAGCTACAACAACAGTTTCAAAACAACTTTGCTTCTACCCATTCTTGTTAATTCATGTTTAGAAAGTAGAGGCCGGGAGATATCCCACAGGCACCTTGAAATGTTTCTAAAATACTATTATAGTAAATTACAGAGTTAGAAAATTAGTCAGTTCAAAAACTCGACTTCGGACGTTTCCGGCATTTCAAAATCCGCGTGTATTAATTGGGCGCGCAGTTTCATTCCAAAACGCAGTCGGACTGTAAATCGACTATATTTTAAAAAGTGCATAAAATTTTAGTAGATATTATGACACAATAAATTAAAGAAAATATGAAGGTGTGCATGTGACAGTGGAATACACAAAACTTTTGCTGTCGATTACCGTTGGTGGATTACAACTTAAGGTGGTTCCCTACAGTTTACTAGGAAATGGAAGATCTCTGATTTAGACCCAATTTTTCGACAATTCATATTTGTTAAATTAAAAGGCAAAGAAAGTCCGACTAGAAAAATAACAACTACAGAGTTGGATTTTTTCGCAAAAAAAGGAATTGCTAATCCCGTCGTTATGGCAACAATGACGATTCAATATCGCCGATATTTTGGGTTTAAAGTTGTGACACGGCCAATTTGAACCAAGCATTAACTTAATGATGTCGGTTACATAATATAACTATATCATTTAGTTAATCTCTAAATTATAGTTTGAAATTAACTTGTCATTAATATCAGCGTTGTTTTACATTTAAATAAACAAAACTGATTGGTATTTATTCAGCATGCACATTCCATTGGGATCAAAGGACCGCAGCTATATATGAGGAAATCACTAATATCTATATCATGTCTTTTTATTAAAAGGGTGGCCAAAAAAGTCAACAATGTATATTAATCAAAGGAGATCGGCTTGTGGAAACTGTCGAAGATATTTATTAACTGAAATTTGTGAACGTATATTTAAATTCAATTTTACTTCATGTATTTTCTTGATTTTACAAATGATTTGAAACACTAACAAGTATTAATTGTTTTAGGCTTGAAATAAGAACTAGTTAATTTAAAAACCAGTTCAGCCTGATCCCTCACTACTAGTTAAGTACCCATTATATAAGAAGCACTTCAGCTAGCCTAACATAAAAAATAGTGTTTCTTTTATTATGCGGGTTTTTACTGTATTTCTGGGAAGCCTGTTCGAACAGGTGTAAGGTGTTAGGGCCTGTTCATATGAGCGGGGTTTCTCGAGAGGCTTACCTGAGTGGCATGAATTATTCCTGTGTTCATATGACTGTTGCTATCCTGCCTAATATCCCGCCTCGGTGGGACCGCAAAATTATGTAAACATTGCGTCTTCGAACTATTTTTTGGTTACACAAACTGCATCTTGTACAAGGACGTTACATATAGTAAGTGTCTCAGGTTTATTTTTTCTGTTTATTTTTTGCTTGTATTTAAAACTTTGTCGTTCAATATTACACTATAGGTCGAAATCGGCAAAAAATCCCCATCCCTACTTGACAGAGATCCCATCCAGCGCAAGGTGAGATCTTGCCTAGCCAGGCTGACTTATTTCTCATATGAACAGTTAAATTTTAAATGCGTTAACAAAAGGCATGCAGATTGCACTAAGCAATATGTCATCCTTGCATGGTTAGAGATAATTATAGATGTGCACATGTGCAAATTATTAAAGCTATTAAGTAGAAATTTACTTACCTTCCTCAGATTTCTTGCTAACTGCTTTGCCATTTACGCAGGCAAAAACACATACCAGCTGCAAAAAGATATGTTAGATTCAATTAAAATTAAACTATATCCTTTTCCGTAAACTATTTTCCAAAACTAAAGATGAAATACATCCCTTTCAAAATCTGTTTGCATGAAAGGTTATCGGTTGCTTGTCCTGAAAATAAAAAGACTGATCATAAAATAATTAATACCTACCATCAAAATTGCCAGAATGTTCTTCATCTTTGATGGAGATACAGAAAACCAGCAAAATTTATGTTTCAGCTTTTTGTTTGTGAAGTTAATTGTACGTGTTTAATTCAGCTATGAACCATGCAGTAGAACGGACAATTAGGAACTGTTGCTCCGAGGCTGATGCAATTTGATTTAAAGCCAGTTTTTTTCTTTCATATGCTAATAAGGGAAACAAATTTAGAACCGTGTGTTGAACTTTCGCAATTTCCTCTGACAGTTAATTTCAGTTTTTTAATTATAATTTTAATAATCAATTTAAATGCAAAGTGTGGTAAGAAATATGGTATAAAATAAACATTACCTCAAAATGGCCGAAAATGACAAGTATAATTAATTCTAGATGCATACGGATTGATTTAGTGATCATAAGTCATCATTTTTTTTACAAAACATTGCCATGTGCAAAGTATTTGTCATTTATTAAACAAAAGCGCTTGCTGTCAGAGATTTTCTGCGGCATATCGTATTTAACTAAGATTTTAAATTGTATACACAATTTGTCTCGCAATACTTACGGACTTGATGGAATTTCAGGCATTTGCACTAAAAAATCGTTGAAAATCTATAATGCTCAGTGTGTTACCATTTGCAATGCAGTATCAAGTTATACAACATGTATTTTACCAGAGTTTTCTTGCGTTTGTACAGGATCATTAAAAACACATAAAAGTTTCTGCGCATGATCACATGTAGTGACGTCATCAAACTTTGAGGCTTTTTGATTAATTAAACGCGACCTTCAAAAGTTTATTTAACAATGATACGCAATTTGATTAAAACGCACTTAGGGAGCGGTCATTATTTATGGTGGGGGTTGGCACCGAAGAGAAATGTTTTTCGCGGGGAAAATTTTGCTGACCCAACCATTAAAAAGACAAAACATTTGATTACCCAACCTCAAGTATCAATTGGAAAATAAATACCCACCCCTGACCAAAAACGTTACAAAAGGATACCAGTCAGTTGTCACACATGTCCTTTACCACGTCTGCATGTGACATGAGTTTGATAACTGCTTGTGAAAGTTTCTGCAGTCTAGAGTTTCACATTGTCTGCACATGTAGTTTCTTTGTAGACACCATTTGTCTCCCAACAAATCGGAAAATGGTCAAGATGGTGACTCTGATCACAGTTTATAGAAATGCTCTGATTGATTCACATATTGCACTTACATATGACTGCATGCTGACATTGCTTTTCAGTCTCCAATATTTAAGTGAGTCATGCTTTGGAAATGAAAATATTTTTTTATTACCCAACCCTTAAGTTGTTTTGTTTTTCATTTACCCAACCTTTTACTCGCTCAAAATTTTGTTTACCCAACCCTTTTCTCTTCGGTGCCACCCCCCGCCATAAATAATGACCGGTCCCTTAAATGATTAAAGATATTGATGCAAATCATAATTATGAAGATAATAATGAAGAGGGGAAATAGAGCATAGTCAACCGGCAGCATTTTAATGCAAGCCCTCGGCTAATAATATAACATTAGGCCTACTGATCAACTTAGTATATGACTTTGACTGAAATTGAGCAACTTCACTGTATAGAAACAAACTGGAGCAGCCCACAAAATGGATCTGAGAAAACTAATTTGTTGACTGCTTTAACCAATTTGGTTTTACAGAATTCGGTTTATTTGAAACAAAATTTAAAATTGAATCAATATTTGTGGTTAATTTTCATTATTTCATATTTTCACTCAAAAGATTTGTGTAGGTCAAGAACAAAACCGTTCAAATTTTGGTTCAAAATGGGCAAAAATTTGTAAAAGGACACTTGTCTTGCTTTTCCAAGCTAAAAAAGCTGAGTATGTAATTATAAATAATTTAGTAGCCGCTCGGGCACCTGTGTCGACAGCAACTATAGGTTCAGGCTTCGGCGTTTCGTCTTTTAGCTACTATTTTTAGTAACCGGAAAAACACAAATTAGAAAACTGCCACTGAGTAGCTGTAGCTTCTACAATGTGTCGTGAAGACGAGAACCAACAAAAAAATTGTATTAAATATGATCATAACGATCATGTTACACTAAGATTTCATGGAGATTTTGGACAAGAGTGTGTACTTCACTGTTTAATGAGACACAAAGAAAAAAACCCTTTTATTTGCTCCTGGCGAAGACCCGGGGGTGTGGAATAAAGTAACTATAAGATGTTCAAAATCCTATGTTGCACGCATGCACACCGTATTCTTGCGGTCGGTGTATAACAACAACTACTGTATCTCGGGGGACAAGGGACGGGGGCATTCTAGATTTCATATTAACGTACAGTATGGACATAAATGAAAGCCAATAATGCAGGCAAAATGCATCTAAAGTTATTAGGCGAATTAGGAACTTCTTAAATTGTATTCAATGGCTTTATTAGTCTTTGAATAACATTTAACAAGTTGGAATGTTATAATTCGCCTACAACTTTAGACATATTTTCCTGTATTACTAACATACTAGTGTGTAAATTAAATATATACAGCAGAATAGGCCGTATAAATTATTAATTAACAACCTCAGCGACTAAACAATCAATATAGAGCGTCTTGTTATATAATTGATGCACCGCAGTCTCCGAGTGCCCTGTGCTCTATTTGTAAAATAATGTTATTTTAACAAGAAAATATGGACCGATTTATTTGGAAATGAACTAAAAATTTCCGAAAAATTGGTTGTATAATCATAGGTAGTGAAAGAGATCATGGTTTCTTCCTTGTGTGCACATTAAATTAAAAACAAAATTTTCTTGGTTAACCTATAGAAAAGATCTTATCTGGGTAAAATTTTCTGGTTAATTTTCCTGATTATTTTATATTAACCTCCTCTATAACTATAGTCTGGTTAATATGGCCAGGACGTACTGGGGCTGGTTTTCATATAACCAAGTTAGCACAACACAGGGTTAACGCAAATATTTAAATCAAATTTTCCAATAACTTGTTTATAATGTTGAATATGTTTTCCCAGAAATATATTTTCTGGGTCAATCTAAAGTTTGGAAACAAATGGTCCTGTAAAAATGCATAAACCACAACAGTGAGTTAATATTTAACCCATGGTTAGCGCTAATCGAGCTTTGAACAACCGGCCCCGGCCCTGGTTAAAATAACCTGACTATATATTAGGTGGATAAATAACCAGGGGCTTTTGTTATATAGATTCACCTAACACATAGTTTGGTTATTTTAACAAGGACGTCCTGGTCAAATATAACGTGATTTCTAATTATACATTTGACCAGACTATGGTTAGAAGTGCGATAAAATAACCAGGAAATTCAACCAGGAATATTAACTTAACCCAAACAGGGCTATTTCTAGGTTAGTCAGAAAATTTTAACCAGAGTGTTTTTAGAGTGTATAAAAAACAACAACAATATACTGGCTGTAAAACTTTTTTTATTCAAGTAATATTCACAAAAAATTAAATAATAACTAAAACAATAAATATCACACGATGCCTCATCAAAGCTTGCTGGGTGCACTACCTGATGGTCTCTTGGTAGGTGGCCGAGTGCGTGCATCACCTGATGGTCCGTTGCTATGTGGCCGAGTGCGTGCATCACCTGATGGCCCGTTGCTTGGTGGATGAGTTGGTATTCCTCCTCCATGTCCCCCAACTTCGTCAACTATTATCTGGATAGCATCTAGGACAAAATCAAAAAAAATAATCGTTAAGATTCAACAGTTAACCCTCGATAGCTGAATAGCTGTATAGCTACTTTAATGTTATAATGATAAACATTTTAAAGTTTTGATGGTTTTCGAAAATGCGCCGGTGTCGTAACGGAGAAATCCGACTGTCGTGACTACACGCCGTTCAATTTTTGCGCGTGGAATGTGATTGGCCAATGCCATGATTTTTATAAACATTTACAGAGGGTCCTGAAGGAGGGTCGTATTCCCATTTCCCAGCCCAAATTTTGACAAAATCCCATTGTCCCAGAGCACAAATCCCATCATCTCCGTGGCTCTCCTGCTCAAATCTTAATCCCATTCCCATTTTCTATTGGTTTTTTTTTATAATGAATCCCAGTCCCAGTGCATGAAATCCCATTTTCCCACCCAAAAATAAGCAAATCCCAGTTCCCATTTTACCCCTTCAGGACCCTCTTTACAATGCAAAAAAAATTCACTCATAAACGTTAGTGAAATAATACTTAGATTCTTGCACTTCACTTGGTGGAATTTATATTAGAATGTTAGGGTTTGGAATCCAAGTGAGAATATATACATTTTAAGACCTATACCAGGAACGACTGCGAAAAATGCAGCACAAGGTCCTCTGGTAGGAATTGAACCTACGGCCCTGCGATTCCGGTGCAGCGCTCTAACCAACTGAGCTACAGAGGCCAGCTGTTAATCTGTAACCGTAAGTTCATGTATATATAGGTAATCGGGTATGCGGGTTGTGATAAGGTGGACTTCATGACTTAGGTGGACTTCATGTCTTAAAATGTATATATTCTCACTTGAATTCCAAACCCTAACATTCTAATATTAATTCCACCAAGTGAAGTGCAAGAATCTAAGTCATGAAGTCCACCTTATCACAACCCGCACACCCGATTACCTATATATACATGAACTTACAGTTACAGCTTAACAGCTGGCCTCTGTAGCTCAGTTGGTTAGAGCGCTGCACCGGAATCGCAGGGCCGTAGGTTCAATTCCTACCAGAGGACCTTGTGCTGCATTTTTCGCAGTCGTTCCTGGTTAGGTCTTAAAATGTATATATTCTCACTTGGATTCCAAACCCTAACATTCTAATAT